ATGGGAAAACCTGCAGCCACCAAGCTGCGCCCCTGGCACCCGGTTTACAACAATAGCGGCTCCCGCCTGATACTCCTTCCCAACTGATTTCAATATCGCGCTCTCGCTGTAGAGTTCGTCCGGATGTATGCAAGAATCGCTCTGTCGCATCGTATTTCTTCACACCTGACTGTGGCGCCGTACTCCCCCAAACTCAATAATCACGCTCTAGCCTAGAATTTCCAAACGATTAACTTGGGAACCGCGCTATCTCTCGAAACTTCCTGCATGATATCTACGCTTTATCGACCTGCCCGCTCGACCTGGCCGTCTGGGCCAGCCCGCTCGACCTGCAAGTTTGGGTCCGCCCGCCAAACACGCCCGTCTGGTTCTGCCGCTTGTGCTCCTGCTCCTAACCCTCCTCAAGCAAATCTTTTTCGTATTCCATCCCTCTCCCTCGCCCTTAACTCTTCACTCCTTTCGTCATTCCCCTGTTGTACGGGCTCCACCAACCACGCGCGGCCGGAAGGGAAGATATACCCCCAATGGGGAATTACGATGGAAGGCAAAAAAGGCGGGTATCGAGGGGGATCTACGTGTTGAGGAGGCACGCGAGCGAACAAGAACGAACAGTACTACATGCATTGTTGTTGTTGCTGCAGCTGTTATTGTTGTTGTTGGTGTTGTGTGTTTGCCTTTTGTTTGTTTGGTTAATTGATTGCGTGCTTGCTTGTTTGGTTGCTTGTGTGTTTGTTTGTTTGTTTGTTGATGTTTCTGTCGGGTCCTCATTTCTGAAAAATGATTGGTGTTGACCCCCCGGTGAGCACTGTAGGTCTTGGAGTTGCATGTTTCTTCCAGGACTCGCACCCTGCATTTACCAGGGACAGTGTGGGATCACCAAACTGTACGGTTGGCCCCCCAGTTTGGCGCAACAGCGGCTTCCGCCTGATTGCTTCCTCGCAATGTAATCCCACATCGCGATCTCGCGCGGGGCATCCTCACAATATATTCAGGAATCGCGCTATCGCGTGATACTTCCTTGCAATATATTCAGACGCCGCGCCGCGCCCTCGACACTCAGGAATCTCGCGCTTGCTGCGGAGACCCTCGCGATTTATCTGGGGATCGCGCTATCGTGCGAGACGTTCTCGCGGTTCATGCAGGACGCACGCTTCAGCAACCCGCTTGCTCGACCTGGCCGCCTGGGCCCGCCTTCCCGACCCGCCCGTTAGAGTCTACCCGCCCGATCTGCCCGTCTGTTCCTGCCACGTGTTTTCTGCTCCTAGAGCCCATCCTGCTGCTCTCTCTCGTGCTCCATCCTTCTTCTTTTCCCTTGTCCCTTCTTTCCATCCGTCCTCTGTTGCCCTGCATGAGGGGCTGCACGAAATACATGATACAGGTAAACAGTGTACCCCCAAGGGGGTGCGATCGATGACGACGAGGGGTATCAGGCGGGAACCGCTGTTGTTGTAAGCCGGGGGCCAGGGCCAGGGGCACATTTTGGTGACCCTTCGCTTCGCTGTGTAAAGCACTTAGCGCGGGCCCGCGAGAAGCATTCTACTTTAGAAATATTGTGACTACCGGAGGAATGCATGTATTCTTTGAAAATGAGAGTTCGACAACACATCAAAACAACAACAACAACAACAACAACAATCATTTTACCCGAACGCGTGGTGTTCTCCCCAGTGCCAGGGTTTTCATACGACACCAGGCAATACCCCCACTTCGTGGGGGGGCATTACAAGCTCTACCAAATATCCAAACGACTCTTCGCGACCACCCAAACCCAGCTTCCCGCCCTATGACGTTGGGACACTTCACTTCGTGGCGTGCGGACGACCGTGGCTACTACACTGGCGTGGGGTACACACCCACAGAACTTGGTCACTTATTCGGGGCGCGCATGATGCGCGGTGCTAAAATTCTTAAAAACCCAATGGTTTTTGGAGATTTCGGCGTGCGCGCGCAAAAAACGAATGTGTCCCGCATGGTATTATTTGACAGGGATGATGGCCCTGGCAGGTGCGCAACCGTTGTCGCAGAAGTTCGAAAAAGTTGCTCGCAAAAGCCCGTTTGACAGAAATGTTTAAAAAGTGTTGGTTTTCCTACGAATCCGCAAGAGCGCGCGGGATGAGATTTTGACATTTTTTTGTTGAAAAACCATTGGTTTTTTGATGTTTTTATGTTAAAATCGCTCCGAACACTAAGCTTTTGGAAGGATTTCGTCTTGCGCGCGCGAATGTCCACTTTACCTTATTTTTTGCAAGGGATTCTTGAAATTTGATTATATTAGAACAAGAAATGTCATTTTATAGTGTTTTTTGCAAGGGAAAACGGATTACAACAAAACAACCGGATCTTGACATCGTTTTACCTGAGGCTTCCTCACGAAAATGATGAAAATGTAGCTGCGGCCTAGGCGGCGCAGGGGGGCCGTGCACCAGGGGCCCAACAATAATTATTCTTTAGAATTAATAATGTTCAACAACAACAACAACAACAACAACAACAACAACAACAACAACAACAACAATCATTTTACCCGAACGCTCAGTGTTCTCCCCAGTGCCAGGGTTTTCTTGCGACACCAGCCAATACCCCCACTTCGTGGGGGGGCCGTTCAAGCTCTACCAAATATCCAAACGACTCTTCGAGACCACCCACACCCAGCTTCCCGCCCTATGACGTTGGGACACTTCACTTCGTGGCGTGCGGACGACCCTGGCTACTACACTGGCGTGGGGTACACACCCACAGAGGTTGATCACATCTGTTACATATGATGTGGTACACGGTACACGTGAGATGGTACGCAGTGCCAAGATAGTTGGTCACATTTTTGGGGCAAATTCGTGGGGATGCGATTACAGAAGTACATGTGTTACACTGATGTTATACAGTCCCAAGGATGACGCATGCATTGCTCATAGACTCATGGCGCTATGATCCTAACTCTCAGTGCCCAACGCGCGCGTGCACAGCCAGACGGAGGGAGAGAAACACATGTATACAAGGTTCGTGACATACGCACGGTCCACCATGTTGTAAACGATCGCATGCACGGTAAGTTCTGAAATTATACGTATGTACAAGCAGACATGCGAGGGAGAAAGGGAGATGGCCATCGACAGTTCCAATACGGCTCCAAGGCGGAAGAGGGGGAGGAGGAGCAGGACAAGGAGGAAAGGAGAGAAGCGAGAAAGGAAGAACGCAGACGGCGCGGCTCTGGACACAAAGGGGTGCCATACTTTCTCCTGCTTTCGCAAACAGGTCCAGTCACACGTAGGGGTATACTCAACCGAATGGTCTTCGCATCCAGAAGCATACTAAAGGCGCGACGCATCGTCGTCTGCGATGGCGCGGAGCGGGCGCGTGGGTGCCCGGCTGCCTGGCTGATACACGTGCGGGCCTGGCTGATACCCGTGCGGTCCCAGATGCCCAATGAGATTGCCGATGCGCCTGCTGGCGGGAAGGCCGGTGCTTGCATACGGCAGTGCTACCGCGAGCACGTTGTGGACCTGCGGTGGCAAGGCCTGGTAATCGAGCATGTTCGGAAGCTCGTCGCTCTGACCATACGACCGCCATACGGGCAACCACCACCACTGGTCTTGACGCGGATACGTGATCTCTGTGCCGACCTCAGGGGATACGTTCCAAAGGGCCATTTTCTGCGGGTCCGTACCCATGAAGGCCGCGTGGTACGCAATGAATACGTCCAAGGTGGCCAGGGCCCTGTAGGAGAGGCCGGATACGATCTCCGCATGAATGGGAATAGCGAGCTGACCGAGCAAATACCGCATACTGCGATACACCCCATACGGCGAATGGATTTCGAGATTTTTCGGATGAGAAAGTAGTGCGTTTTCATATGTTTTCTGAACATCGCATCTTGAAATTATTGAAAACCCATTGTGTTTGGCAGGATTTCGACATGCGCGCGCGGCGGCCGCGCGCATGTGCACTTCGTCTCATTTTTTGCAAGGGATGGTGGCCCTCGCAGGCGCGCAACCGTTGTTGGAGAAGTTCAAAGCACCTGAAGAAGTAGCACGCAAAGACCCTTTTGACAGAAATGTTTAAAAAGTGGTGTGTTTCCTATGAATCCGCAAGAGCGCGCGGAAGGACATTTTGACAATTTTTTCTTAAAAAACCATTGGGTTTTTGATGTTTTTATGTTAAAATCGTTACGAAACCTAAGGTTTTGGAAGGATTTCGTCTTGCGAGCGCGAATGTCCACTTTACCTTATTTTTTGCAAGGGATTCTTGAAATTTGATCAACTAAGAACAAGAATTTTCATTTTCTATTGTTTTTTGCAAGGGAAAACGAGCGTCAACAAAAAACCGGATCCGGGGGTAATCCACTTTTCTGAAGCTTTCGCAGAAAAATGATGAAAATGTAGCTGCGGCCTAGGTTTTGGGCGGGGGGCGTGCACCAGGGGGTCCAACAATAATAATTCTTTAGAAGTAATAGTGTTCAACAACAACAGCATCAGCAGCAACAACAACAGCAGTAACAACAATAACAACAACAACAAGAGCATCAACAGCAACATTGACAACGACAACGACAACAACAGCAGCAACAGCCGCATCAACGACACCACCAACAACACTCATGTTACGGCTGTTCGTTCTTATCTGCTCGCGTGCCATTCAACATGTATATCCCAAACGCTCGATGCGCGCCCTCGTCGTCTCCGGCTATATATATATATATATATATATATATATATATCCAAGGGGGTACGATCGGAGACGAAGAGGGCGGGTATTGGGGGTTTGGGACACGCGTGTTAAATGGCACGCGTTCAGACAAGAGCGAACAATCTTAAACTGATTCTTGTTGTGGTTGTGGTGGTGGTGGTCGTGGTTGTAGTCCCACTCGCGACCCAGCCCGCGACCCACCCGCGACTCACACCGCGATCCACCCGCGACCCGCCCGCGACCCACCCGCGACCGCCCCCTCACTCTCATCCGCCATTGCAGGATGCTGCCCGTATTTTTCTTGTGGTGTGACGCGCCCCTTCGCCACCCAGCCGTGCTCCGCCCTCAGGTAGCGGCGCGCCAAGTAGCGCACGGCGCTGGCCCCGGGCAGGCCGCCCCTGCCGCGCGGCAGCGCGGAGTAGGTGCGATTCAGCCTCACCTTCGGGGGGTGCCACAGATGACCCTGGCCCAAGGTGCCCCCGGCTTTTCGCTCCCTCCTGGAGCTCCTGGGGGGGCCTCTGTGCCTCTTGAGGGGGCCGCCTTGTGGAAGCCGTGGTTGCCTCCTTGGAAGTCCTGGGGGCACTTTGGGCCAGGGCACTTCTACAATCGAACCTAGGGCATCTCTCGAGAACACGAGACCCTCTGCCGGCCAAAACGTACAGAACATCCAAGGGTGCCCTCCCCAGGGTGCACAAGAACATCCAACAACCACGAAGAACAGTAGTAGAGGCCTCCTCGATGGGGTCCGAGTAGATGGAGTCGGGGGATCGCGCCGCATCGCCCATGTATCGCCGATGTATCGGCGATGCATCGGCGGCGCATCGGCGACGTCGGCGATGCATCGGCGACCTCGGCGTGGAAAAACACCGGCTCCACATCGAGCCGCATCATGCACCGGCGATGCAGCGCGACCCTCCGACCCCATCTATTCCGAACCCATCTAGGAGGCCTAGAACTGCAGGGTGCCCTCCCCGAGCCGACCTCCATCCTAACTATGCCTCGGCCCGACTGCAGCAGCACCCGACACCTGCAGGCTGGTGGAGCCGCCGCCGCGCCAGCCGGCCGCGTGCGCGGCGCTGGCGGCGACCAGCCACGCCAGCGCCCACCTCATGGGCCCGGCACGCAGGCCTTCGGCGTCAACGCCGCCCCGCGCGGCACGGACGGCGCGGCGCCTCCGCGGGCATTGGGCCCGGGCCGCCGCGGCCGTCCGGAGGCGGGGCTGGCCCTTCGGCCTGGGGGGCACGGAACCGGCCACCCCACTTGTAGAAGACGAGGCCAGGTCGAGGATGACATCGGGCGGGGATAAATCGAACATCTCTGAGATCCGGCGGCTCTTGAGGGTGTCTCCGGCGCCGCGGCCTTCTCAGAGCGTCCAGGGGCGCTCTGAGAGCGTCCTGGAACGCTCTGGAACGGATCTAATTATCCTCGTCCTGGCCCCGTCCGACGTTATGAGGAGAATCCTGGAGGCCTCGCGTGGCAACTCGAGGCCGCGCTCACGTCGGATCCACATCGGATCCACGTCGGATTTTTGCATCGGGCTCACGCCGACTGTGGGGTTTGCACCGGAGCATCGCGGCGCGAGCGTCTTTCCAGATCCGACGGGGCGGGCGTGTGGACCGGCTCGTGCCACTCTTACGCACCGCGCGAGGCCTCCAGGATGGTCCTCACAGGTCGCCCGGCCTGGCAGCGCCCGTCCCAGGCCAGCCCAGGACCTGGGCACAGGCCGTCCTGGCCTGGCCGGGGAGGCACGCCCTCCGAGCCGAGCCTGGGCACGGGATCGGCTAGGGCGGGATGGGTGGGGAGGTCAGCTGCCGTCCCCCGCGTGGCGGGTCTCTGGTGGACCCAAGAGGAGGTCCAGCGAAAAGAGGGTGGTGCAATAAATCTGGTGCAGTAGATGTGTGTGTGGGGTTGCAACAGATTTGGGGTGTGCAAGACATTCGGGCACAGTTGCAATCCGATGGCCCCAAATCCTATTGCACCACCCCTTTCAGTGGGACCCCCTGTTGGGTCACGAGGAGGGTCGCGAGGGCTCGAGCCCAACGGCTGCGGAGGCGATGCCGCATGGGAGGAGCGAGGACGACTCCGAGGCAAATGAGGCCCACGAGGCGCGGGGGCGCGGCGACGAGCCGGAAGGTCGACGCGGAGGCCAGGGGCCGAAGTCGAGAGGCTGAAGGCCAAGGCTCGGGCGAAGCGATGCCTTCCGTCTTCGTCTGGCTCTCGCTCTCCCTCGCTCGGTCTCCGCTCCGCCCTCGCTGCCAAAGAACATCAAAACGGAGACGGCCCACGGAATCGCGCACATAGAAGAAAAAACAACGCCATATAAGCATCAACTTTTGGCGCTCCGCGCGGATTTCTTGGATCTGCGCTGGGGCCCCCGGGCGGCGCCACTGGCGCCGCCCCCAGCGCGCTCCGCGCGCCAGGGAGGGGGGTCCAGCGCAGATCCAAGAAATCCGCGCGGAGCCAGACAATGATGTTCATGGCGTGTTGTTCCTCTGCGAGAACACCGTGAGTAGCCGCCGCCCCGCTCGTGGCATGATGCCGGTCGCCGCGCGGGCTGCCGAGCGACCCGAGGCACACGGGGGCCGGTGGGGCGAGCGCGGACGTAGGGCGCTCCCCCCGCTGGCCAGGGGCGCCCGTCCGGGAGGTGCACGCGCCTGATGCGCCTGAGGGCCGCTGGTCGAGCGTTGGTAGAACTGGGTTTAGCGGAACCTGGTTTAGGGATCTGTACCGGGGGCGCCCCCTCCGTCCCATTTCCACTCGCCGGAGCTGCCGTCGCCCGAAAAGACACCAACTATATGGCAAACCTGGTTTAGTGATTCTGGCCGATTCGCAGGCGCCGGGGCCCCACCACTAACCGGGTCCCCCCACCCGGGGTCCTGGCCATATACCCGAGCTGGCTCCCCTCCCCGGAGATCCGCCGCTCGGGCAGACACTCGCGAGCGGGAGGTTTTTGGGCCGCCTTCGCCCCTGGGGGGCCCTCGCGGGGCCTGCCGCCCCCGTCCGCAGACCCACGGGCAGCGACCCCTCCGGGCACGGGGGTGCTGCTGCTCTCTGCTCCGCGTGAGCTTTCGTGCACGTGCACGCTGCCCTGTCAAGGCCCTGTGGGCCGAATCCCACCAAGCCTCTGGGCGGAGGTGGTCCAAGGCGGTTCCTCCTCCAACCCCCTTCACCTGGGCGCACGTCAAGATGGATCAGGGATCCGTGGATCTGGCGCGCAGGCGTCAGATCCACGAAGCACGAGCACGAAGCCATGCGGCGCGTGGGCAGGAAAGTAAGTCTGGATTCAAACTCTCACAATCATTTCGCCTGCTCACCAGGGCTATCGGAGGAGGAAGACGAGGAGGAGGAGGAGGAGGAGGAGGAGCAGGAGGAGGAGGAGAAGGAAGAGGAGGAGGAACGGGAAAGCAAAAGACCCCCCTGGAAGATGAGGCCAATGCCGCCACGGTCCAAGAGCCCCCCAAGATCGCCCAAGAAGCCTCCAAGATGGCGCCAGAACGGCGCAAGAGGCCCCCCAAAAAGGCCCCAACCAAGAGGGCCCCAAGACGGCCCAAGAGGCCTCCAAGACGCCCTAGATGGCCTCCAAGACAGCCCCGCAACACCCCAAGAGGGCCCCAAGTCGGCCCAGAGATGCCCCCTAAGCCAGCTTCCGACGGTGTCAGACGGGCCAGGAGGCCCGTCAAGACGACCCAAGGTGGCTCTAACCCAAGATCGCCCAATAGGCCACCAAGAGATCTCTAAGACGGTCCAAGAGGCCCCCAGGAGGGCTTCCAGGAAGGCCCGAAGTGGCCAACATATTGTTTTCCCTACCTAGGCTCTGCCCAAAAGGGTTCTTTCTCGGAGGCTTAAAGGGCCGGGCAGTGTAACCCGCCCCAGGCGGTTCCCGCAGTATCTGCCCCGCGGTTCCCCCAGTTGCGCCTCCTTGGTTCACCCAGCTTAGCCTAGCCTAGCTTAGCTTAGCTCATCTTAGCTTAGCTTAGCTTAGCTTAGCTTAGCTTAGCTTTAGCCTAGCTTGTATCATATTGTTTAGCTTAGCTTAGCTTAGCTTAGCTTAGCTTAGCTTTGCCTAGCCTAGCCTAGCTTAACTTAGCTTAGCTGGCTTAGCTTAGCTTAGCCTAGCTTAGCTTAGCTTAGCCTAGCCTAGCCTAGCCTAGCTTAGTTTAGCGCAGCATTAGCACAGCATAGCATAGCTAAGCTTAGCCAAGCATAGCATAGCATAGCATAGCATAGCATAACCTATCATAGCATATCATAGCATAGCATAGCATAGCGCAGCATAACATAGCATATCATATCATTGCTTAGCATAGCACAGCGCAGCATAGCACAGCATAGCATAGTACAGCATAACATAGCATAGCAGAGCATATCATAGCGCAGCATGTCATAGCATAGCATAGCATAGCGCAGCATAGCATAGCATAGCATAGTGTTGCTTTCCTAGAGGCTCCAACTCCTAGGTAGGGTCGCACTGGGATAACTTAATGTGAAGTTGGCTTTTCGGCCTCACGGCCCGAGACGGCCCAAGAACCCCGCAAAGGTCGCCCCGAGATCGCCCAAGAGGCCTCCAAGATGGCCACAGAACGGCCCAAGAGGCGCCCAAGACGACCCCAAGAGGGCCCCCAAGACGACTCAAGAGGCCCAAGATGGCCTCCAAGACGGCCCGGCAGCACCCCTAGAGGGCCCAGAGAGGCCCTGAAGACGGCTTCCGACGGGCCAGGAGGCCATCAAGACGGCCCAAGATGACTCGAAGATGGCCCAAGGCGGCCCAAGAGGCCACCAAGAGGTCTCCAAGACGGCCCAAGAGGCTCCCAAGAGGGTCTCCAGGAAGGCTCGAGCATGTCGAAGAGGCCCGAGGGCAACCGAGGACTCGAGGATGTCGAGGGCTCGAGGACGTCGAAGGCTCGAGGTGATCCGAGGCCGAGGGCGCGAAGGTCCGCGGGCCGGAGGATCTCGAGGCCAGAGGATTTCGAGGGCTGGACGATATCGAAGGTCAGAGGGTCGAAGGTTCGAGGGTCAAAGGTTCGAGGGTCGAAGAGGCTCGGCGGCCGCGGCCCCCCCGCGCAGAGGCGGCCTCGGCCGCCGCCAACGCCTTCGACTTGGCGTTGCTGAGCAGCATCTCGGCGGCGGCGGCCCGCGCTGCCTGGCCGCGGCCGCGGCCGTCGCCGACCGATCGACCGGCCGACCGAACGTCGCCGTCGTCGTTGTCGTAGACGTCGTCGTTGACGGATCGTCGTCGTAGGCGTCGGCGTCGTCGTCGTCGCCGTCGTCCGATCGTCGTCGTTGACCTGTCGTCGTCTTCGTCGACCGGTCGTCGACCGATCGTCGACGTCGTCGTCGATCGTCGTCGTAGCCGCCACCGTCACCGTCACCATCACCGTCGTCGTCGTCGTCGTCGTCGTCGTCGTCGTCGTCGGTCGTCGTGGTCCTCGTCGTCGTCGCCATCGAGGAACCAGTCCTCGTCGCCGTCATCGACAACATCATCGAGGGCGGTCGCCGCCGCCATCCGCGGGCGACAGCCCTCCCTACCTGGTTGGGCCTCCGACGACGACGGCTACGACGACGACGACAACGACCACCACGACCGCGACGACGATACAACGGGGCGGCGGCGGCGTCGCCGTCGTCGTCTCGTCGTCGTGGTGGTGGTCATCGCCTTCGTCGCCGCCGTCGCCATCAGATACCCACTCCTGGAACAGAACTGAATCTGGGTCTGTGGAAGCGGGCCCAAGCGCCGCCGCCTCGACGCCGGCTACCTCTTCTTTTCTCTAGAGAAACTCCGGCTCGAGGGTGGGCCTGGGTCCCAAGCCCGGCCCTCGCGACGACAGCGGCTCCCCTTCGTGACGTCCTCGCATGCTACCCCGCGGCGCCATGGCCGGAAAGGTCCCCAAACTCGATCCTTCCTCGCAGTCCAATCGCCGTGGCGAAATCCCAACCGCGACGACAAGGGCTGCCGCTCGGCATGCCTTCACAATCTACTCCGAGACGCCTTGGCCAGAGAGCCCCCAAATCTCAGGAACGGCGCTCTCGTCCGAGACACCCTGGCACTTCAATTGGGTTGGGAGACGCCCTGGCCGGAGAGGCCCCCAAACTCCTGAGCGGTGCTCTCGCCCGAGACTTCTTTGAAATTCAATCAAGGGGGTGAAAGCCCCACTGCGACGACGGCGGATCCCGCTGGGCGCTTCCTCGCAATGTGTATTCCGAGACGCCCTGGCCAGAGAGCTCCCCAATCTCAGGAAAGGCGCTCTCGAGACACCCTGGCACTCCAGGAAAGTTGGCAAAGACCCAGCTACGACGACCACGGCTCCCGCTCGTCGCTTCCTCACAATTTGACCCGAGATGCTCTGCAGGAACGGCGCTGCCGCTGTGGTCTACTTCGCAAGACATCGGCGGACGGCGACGACGCGCATGACAAAGATGACGGGCCGACTCAGACCCCCGACGTCTCGTACCTTTCTCGCGACGTGGACCCCTGGAGGTGTCTGGACCAGTCCCCCTGGACTGGCAAGCTGACTGCTGATCTTGGCTCCCAACCATGGAATGCTATGATTTTTCGGTGCGGGGTCCCCGGAATACCGACCCTCTCGCCCTAACCAGCTTTTCACCCTCAGCCATATTCTGACGAAGCCAAGGCCCGGCGAGGGCCCTGGGAGCCGAACGCGGCAAAAAAACCCGCCGCCGTGCTTGATTCTCACGATGCAAAGAAGTGGGACTTTCGGACTAATTACTTCGGGCCTCCAGGGTCCCTTCGGGACGACCTGGTCGCCCCCAGAACGCCTTCGGCAAGGCGCACCTGCTGGAAAGCATCACGAGGCTGGAAAGCCTTGGTGCGTGGAAGAAAACCTCCAACACATTCAAGCCCAGACATCCTCGGGCATGATTCTTTCAATCCGCGCCCCCAAAGCTCTGAACCCCTTCCGCGGGGGTAATTTTGTGCCCGCGATCCATTTTTGGTGGCCCCAGAGCTCGATAACGGGCTCCAGAAGCCGAAATCAACGAAGCCCCCGTCGCCCTCGTCGCCTTTGTCGTCCTCGTCGCCCTCGTCGCCTTCATCGTCCTCGTCGTCCTCGACGCCCTTGTCGTACTCGTCGCCCTCGTCGCCCTTGTCGTCCTCGTCGTCCTGAGGAGGGCAGAATGCAGGAATGCAGTAAGGCGGCAGCGTCTGCTCACAGACACAGCTCTACCACCAGGGAGAAAAAATAATGCCCAGCCACTCCCCTCCAGGGGTGGCCAGACTTGGGGTGCTTGCCCCCCAGCAAGCTGTTGAGGACCCTCAGCCTGCTGGGGGCCACGTCTTTGGGGTCAGGGCAGGGGGCCCCAAAGGCCTTCCCCACCCTGACGGACCCGTAGGCCCCGCACCGCCGACACCAGACGACCGTGCCCGTGGCGGTAACGTCGTGTCCCCCAGGCGCAGAGATCCTACGCGGACCCGCCTCGGGCTCCCCGGAGCCCGAGGCCACCCCAACAGGGGCCCCAGCCCCGCCCCCACGGGCAGGCACAGGCCCTCCCCAGAGGACCCGGCAGGGTCCAGCCCAAACGAGGCCACGGGCGCCGACGGCACCGCAGGCCCCCCCCCCCCGAGACGACGCCACACCCGACCCCCCAGCGCCCACCGACCCCAGAGACCCAACAGGCAGGCGGTTGGTGGCGGCAGCCTCCAGGATCATCGCCTGCAAGGTGTGGATGGCGGAGGGGTGGCAACGCCTGTCCGTGCCGCCAGTCAGCTGGCGTCTCGCCTCGGGCGTCCTGGCAGACCGTCTGCATTTACTGCAGAACAGCCTGCCGTCGATCTCGACCAAATCATGGTCGTGCAACGGCAGGGCAATATTCTGCTCTGCAGGGACACAAGGCCTGACTCCAGACGTGGGCACAGCGTTGTCAGACCATAGCTCAAGCTGGCAGCTTCGCTGGACCGCCCAAACGAAATACTTGGCATACTGGGCGGCGCCTGAAAGAGACTCCTTGAACATGTCGCGTGGCCATCGGGGACCTTGACAGACAGGGCCCCTAGTTTGGCAAAACAGTCGGCCCACATGTTTCCCACAAGCCAGAGGTCCGGAGGAGGAGCAGGGCCCTCAGGGGCAGGAACAACAACCTCATCCTCGGTCATGTGGGCGGGGACCCCAGCAAACTGTGGCGGCTCGCGCTTCAGCCTCACGAGCTGCCTCCACACGCCTGGTTACGGAGCACTGGCATAGGTCACTTTTTTCGGCAGCACCATCGCACCAGAGTTCGCCCTCCTCGACGAAGCCGAGCACATCACTGACCAGCAACTTGGCCGAAGGCATATGTTGGAACGCCCTCAACCCAGCCAACATCTCGGCCCGTCCGACCGTCTGTTGCACGCCTGCGAGCCTGCCATACACAGCGCGCACAATGACTCCATTAGCGTTCAGCATGACGGCTGACCAGCCACACCGACGCAGCTCTGGGACCTCATTGTGAGATCCAGAGCCTTCGTTTTCTACATGAAAGCAACAAAACAACACGCAATCACTCCAGACTGCTTTGGACGAGTCCCATTCTCCCTAGACAAGGCAAGGGGGTCACTCGGCGGCTGCGGCACATCAGCGTGGGGCCACCAAGGGATTCCGATCGTGACAGCAAACGAGTCGAGCTCCTGCGGACCCTCGCCGAGAGACCCCTGCTCCAACATGGCGTCACGGGCCGCCGCCAAACTCGGGTCGAGGCCACAGTCTTCCTCGTCATCAAGCAGGCGCTGAGTCAGCGCAGGGCACCCGATGAAAACATGGCGGGGCGTCTCGGCCTCATGGGGACAAGCTCTACACCTCTGGTCATCGCACAGACCGTGCTTAAAGAGCTTAGCCTTGGGCCACAGAGACTCAGACCACAGGCTGCGCAGCGCTCCCACCCGTCCCGCCCCCGCAGGGAGGAGGGCAGAAGAGGAGGGAGGAGGAGGACGAGGAGAAGGAGGACCAGTGTAAACCCAAGAGTCATCAACAACCTTGGATCAAAGCATCCCTCCGAGCTCCCTCTTCAGAGGCCCCTACAACGGTTCATTTCTACTGAAGGAACTGCCTCGTTGGCAGACAACCTTTTGAAGACCCTGAAGCATGCCCAAGCATTGTTCTCGGGATTCCAACGCCACGGATCAACCTGACTGTTGTGTCTTGCCGACCCAGAATCGCGCCAACACGCCCTTCCTGGGACTCCAACGCCGCGAATCAACGTAACTGTGGCGCCCTCCTAATCCTGCATCCTTCCACAACATCGTTTCTGGTACGTTGATGCACGTTGGTCGTAGAAATCCATGAGACTCGTGCCAATGTCTGAAACGATTGTGCGCGGTGCTGAAGCGAGAGCCACATGTTGAAAACCACCCGCCCTCAATCCGAGAAGCTCTTGCACATGTTGAAAATGAATGTGCGCGGCGCTGCGGCGACAACCGCATTTTGAAAACCACCCGCCCTCACTCCGCGGAACTCTTGCAGTGGTTTAAACACGAACGTGCGCGGCGCTGAGGCGAGAACCACATTTTGAAAACGGCCCGCCCTCCACCTGCCAATGTTTAAGCTTCAGGGTCATACGTGATGACGAAGTCTCAGGCGAAACGCCAGGCCCGCCCTAAAAACTGGCCTCGGGGTGCGGAAGACTCATTCACACGGAGAAGGAATGGAGGAGGAGGAGGAGGAGGGGGAGGAGGGGGAGGGGAGGAGGAGGAGGAGGAGGAGGAGGAGGAGGAGAGGAGGAGGAGGAGGAGGAGGTGGAGGAGCAGAGGGAGGGAGGAGGAGGGAGAGGAGGGAGGAGGAGGGAGGAGGAGGAGGAGGAGGAGGCGGGAGGAGGTGGGAGGAGGTGGGAGGAGGGAGGAGGAGGGAGGAAGACGAGGGAAGAGGAGGAGGGCCCCAAGCTTCGGCGCCCAGCGGCGGGCGCGGCGCCTCGGAGCGCTGCGCGGCGGGCTCTTCCAGCACGGCGGCGGGCGGCGCCTCCGGCTGTGGCCGGCTGCGGCCCGCCCCTCGGCGGCCTTTCGGTGCTCGTCCGCAGCCTCTGGCGGCCCTCGGAGGCGTTCGGCGGCCCTCGGCGGCCGTCGGCCACTTGGCGGCCGTCGTCCGATCGGCGGCCTTCGCCCGCCTTCGGCGATCCTCGGCGGCCCTCGGCGATCGTCGGCGGCCTTCGGCGGCCGTCGGCGGCCCTCGGCGGCCATTGGCAGCCGCAGTAGCAGCAACAGCCAAAGAGTCATTTGGTAGCCGCCGTCTTTGTGCTGGTGGTTTGTGCTGCCCGCTCGTGCTGCCATTATGTAGCCGTTCCTTACTTGCTTGTGATGTTGTGTTGTGCACGCCTGCGATGTTGCCAACGCAATCCATGCCTGTGTCACAGGTGGAATTACCGTTTAGATAGCGGCAGACGCTGACGATCATTCGCGCAAGCGTTAGAGGCGCACATCCAACGTCGCTACTTGCATGTGATGTTGCTTGTCCGCTTTTTGCTGTAGCTCGTCTGATGTGTTGCCTGCGTGCCCAAGTTGGTAAGAAACTCCTCGATCCGATGAGAAAGGACATATACGCGAATGAAGAGCGAGATGGGAACTCGGGGCTAGAGGCTTATGTTAAGTTGTGTCCTCGACGGGCCGACGTGGCGTCGTGAAAAGTTGTGTCCTCCTGTCCATCTGTAACTATAGGTATACACTTACACATACAATGTGCTTACATCTAGACAGCTATATCCACAATTATATATCGGCCTTTACATAAAACAACCTGTGCAATTCACACAAGACGAATCCATGTGTGAATCGCCTATCTGAAGAATTCGAATGCAAATCGCACGAACTGGCTCTATGTGTACCCCTCACAAGGGGAACCATTTTGAACCGCCCACAAGACCTCTTGCACCCAACCCACAAACCAAATGGCCACACGTAGTCATATATTTGGTCTCAAGTTGTAAGCCCACCACACAAATCCGAGCGTAAAGCCGCACGAATAATTTCGTTTATAAACCACACCATCGGAATCAAAACGTAAACCGCCCACACAAAGGATCCCATTGTAGTCCCCCTGAAAGCCAGCTGTAAACAATGCAGAAATCGTCAACTGGTGAATCGCCCACAAAAAGGTTTCCTTCGAAAGGGGGGTTCACCAAAACTGGGGCAGTTCGCTCACCCTCACAAACAAAAACAAACAACACACACAACACACACCACAACCACACACACACGCACACGCACACGGACAATTGATGTTTCATGTTGTTCAAATGTGTTTCTGTTTGGCCCTCCCCTGGCCAGGAAGAATATGAACCGATGCAACTTCACTTTTTTGTCGGTGGGGGGACCTTTCATGTTGCTGCCCCACCCCGTCAAGGGACATATTTTTTGTTCGCGTTTTCATTAAACAACAAGAATACAAACAATAATACACATTCGTGAGCGTTTAAGACATATCAATGAAAATAATTATTTCTGTGGTTTACAAGAGCGATCCTTCGTGAGGCGGTACAGTAGTATTAATTGTATGGGCGATTTACAAATTGATTCCTGATGTGTGGCTTACACCTAAGATCCTTTTGCGTGGCCTTGCAACAGGATTCCTCTTGCGGTGGGTTGACAACTTGGTTCCCATCAGGGGGCTTACACATAAAACCCTTTCGCGTGGCCTTACAATCGGGGTCTTTTTGTGGTGGGTTGACTAGTTGATTTTCGGTGTGTGCATTGCAGATGAAACCCTTTTGTGCGGCTTTGCAGATCGAGCCCATCTGCGCGGCTTTACAGCTTGTGCGGGCGATTTGCACATTGATTCTTGTTGTGCGCATTCATGTAACATCTTTTTGTGCGGCTTTGCACTAGAAATTCTTTTGGCGATTTATGAATTGGTTCCTTCTGTACGGCACGAACATGCTGACTTCGACTGCGCCGGCACCCGAACATGATTGCCGAAGAACACGCCGCGCAACGCACCACCAAGCGGCAAATCGCCGAATCGGGGGCCAACGGCCGCAGTATCGGCGATGTATCACCGACTCCAAGTCAATATTCCCCTCCCTTGGCCAGTCCCCCCTGCGAATGAAATACATCGTAAGCGATAGAGAGGCGAGAGATCGACACAGAGAGAGAGAGAAGGCGGAGCAAAAGAGTGATAGAGAGAGAGAGAGAACGGGAGAGAGAAAGGGAGAGAGAGAGAGAGAGAGAGAAACAAAAAAACGAACGTCCACCGAAAAAGCACTGGAACGCTCAGAAACCGAGTCGGCCCGATAGCGAACCCGCACGTTCCAGGGCGGGGAGGGCTATCGGGCCCCCATCGGCGATGAATGGCCGATCGGGGATCGATGCATCCCGCCGGAGCCTGTCCCCTCCTGTCGGCGCCCCCTGGCTTTCGGACCACAGGTCGCTCTCTGGCGGCCGTCGGGGACGATGGGGACATCCCTGGAACGATCCTTGCCCCTCGACGACGAGACTACGGCGGCGACGTCGACGACGACGCCGGCGGTGATGACGGCGGCGGCGTCGTCTCGCCTTTATGCACGAGTGGCCCTGGGCAGGAGTGACCTTCGGTGGGCGGCTTTCGGGGGCCGCGGGGGGCTAGATTCCAGCGCGCAGGGCCGTGCTGGGGCCACGAGCACCCGAGGACCCGAGTCGTCGATGACGCCGCCGCCCGAGTATGGTAGGTTCGTGCGGTGTCTGCGGGCGCAAAGGTTTTTGACCCCGCGTCGATCGTTCAGCATTGAATCGATCGTGGCTCCGATCATTCAAGGTTGAGTTCTGTCGGACCCTGTGGCGTCACCGTGTCCCCGTGTGGTTCTGCGTCGTCCTATCATGCGCAGAATTCAACTTTGAACGCCTTGGCTGGCGTCGCCGGCGTGCCTACTCCGCATGAACCTACCGTACCCGAGCCGACGATGCAGGAAACCCACGAATACCTGAGTCGCTTGAGCAAGGGCCGCCCGTCCCGGCATGCCTGTAGGCCTACCACGACATGCTAATAAAAAAAGAGCGTTCTCATCATAAAAACAATGCCTTTAGAACATAAAACCGACTGGCAAAAACAGGAGGGTCTCAACCAGAAATGTTCTGAGAACATTTCGTGCAATCCACAACGGGCTCGTTGAACTTTGTTTGGTGGGCCTACAGGCAAGGCAGGACGCGTCGCCACTGCCCGAGTCGTCAATGACAACGCGACGACGCGGCGACGCGCCGCCTCGCTGCTCTCGGCCGCCGCGGCCGGCTCGGCAGTGCCCTCCGAGGCATCCTGCGTGCTCCAGGTCTCTCGGCGCCGCCGGCGTCGCCGGCGTCGTCGACGTCTTCACTGCAGTCTTCGTCGTCATCCTCGCCGCCGCCGTCGCCGTCGTCGTCGTCGTCGTCGTCGCCGTCGCCGTCGTCGTCGTCGTCGTCGTCGTCGTCGTCGTCGTCGTCGTCGTCGTCGTCGTCGTCGTCGTCGTCGTCGTCGTCATCGGTGTCGTCGGCGTCGTCGGCGTCGTCGGCGTCGTCGAGGCTCGGGATTCGCGAGGATGGATGCCCAACTATGGAGTCTTCAGGCGGTGAAGATCACGCCAGGTTTGCCGAAATGCAAAAGATGGTCTTTATGCGTAATGCACTGATATAATGATTGTATGTGCCCGCCCTCTGTGGGTCTCCCCTGGCCCCCCCAAACGGTTTCCAAGCAGTTGCCCTGAGGTGCCTTACAAGGAATCCGCGCCCCCAGGGCAACGATCTCTCAAAAATACGATGGGTCCGCGACAAGGCCACGATCCCTGACATTTTACGTCGGATCCGAGCTCCCAGAACCGCGTCTTTTACAACTGGGTCCGCGCCCCCACCACAACGATCACTCACATAGATTTTACGCCGGGTCCGCGCTCTCAGGGCCACTACCCGTTGCAAATCGCGCTGGATCCGCGCTGCCGACGCCACGATCCCTTACAAATTGCACGGCTCCGCGCCCCCAAGGTCAGCCTTGGTGAATTGCTTCGACGGTGGGACCCCGCATGGGAATCTCCTCGTTGTGATCACGCAGGCCCTCCTCCCGTCTCCCCTTCACCCTTATCCTTCTCGTCCGCCTCCTACTTCCTCCTTACCCATCTCATTCCCACCCACCCCTCTTCTGCCTCCTCCTCGTCCTCTTCCTCGTCCTCCTCCTCCCCCCCCTGGGGCGGACGAATCAATTTCCTCGGCGCCGCCGTCGCATCGACCAGCAGAACCGCGTTCGCCTGTGGCTGGACCACGGAGCCGTCAAGGCAACCCTGGCGGCCAGGTCGACGATGGCCAGATCGCTGAGCCGTTGGGACAACCCCGCGGGCTCCCGATCGGGACTTCCTCGCAATTCGCTCACAGACGAGCCCCCAACTCGAGACTTCCTCCGTACTCATGCCCCAGGAACCCCAAGGCGACGACAAGTGCAGGATATGGATGAGCATCGCGGACTGGAGGACAAGCGCAGACCCCATAGTGGAAGGGCTCCCGCTCGAGACTTCAATGCGATCCACTCACAGACGAAGCCTCCGCTTGAGACTTCCCCCATGCTCCAGCCTCAAGACCCACAGTATGAACGACAATTGCAGGATCTTGATTGCCCGCTCGCTTTTGAAGGGGAAACACATAGCGCGCGGACCCCGTGGGCAGGGGCTTGCGCCTAAGATTTCAATACAGTTCGCTCACAAACGAGGCCCGCGCTCTAGACTTCCTCCATGCTCACACTTCAAGAACCCAAAGAAATGGCGACAGTGTTCAAATCAGGATGGATCTGCAAGATTCCAAACATATGGCATGGAGCCCATAGGTCCGCCACCGTGCCTCTGGGCACGGAGTGGGCGTGTCCTCAAGTCCTTTGCCCAATCCCCTGAGCCTCAGTCCTCACTCCTGAAGAGTCTTCGATGGGGACCGGAGCCGACATTCACAAATCTCCGGGGGCTAGGCGCGGTTCCATTCGGCCTTGGCGCACTGTCGCGTTACTTTTTCGGGCCTAAGAGCGCCCCGAGACGGGCCAAGAGGGGTCCCAGAGGCCGCCAAGACGGTCTAAGAGGGCCCCGTGTCGCCGAATGATCGCCCCAGGACGCCCAAGATGGCCCCCAGGCGGCCCAAGAGCTTTTTGATCTCGGCGATCTCAGAGGCCTCCCGGGCTGAAGCTCATCGCACCTGTGGGACATGCGATGAATAAGAATGTGGAAAAGGAAAGGACGCTGTGCAAAGTGCCGCAGTCGAGGCTGTGCCTCCGCGGCCGCACAGCCGCTCTCCCTATCCAAAGCTGCAGGTCCAACCTTGGCGGTGGCAACCCCGAGGAACGGACGGGAGAGAGCCCCGAACCCTACGCGGGCAGCAAACAGGACCAGACAGCCGGTCCTAGAGGCCCCAAGACCACTCCAAGACAGCCCAAGAGGCCTCCAAGAGGGCCCCAAGAAGGCCCAAGATGGCCCCAAGACGGTCCAAGAGGCGCCCAAGACGGCCCAAGAGGGCCCCAAGACGGCCCCAAAGGGGCCCCAGAGAGGGAACAGGGACTGAAAACCCGAGCCTTCCGCCCCAAGAGGCCCTCAGGAGGCCCCAAGAGATTCCCCCAAGAGGTTTCCAACAGGCCCAAGAGCCCCAAGAGGCCCAAAGAGGCTCCCAAAATACAATTTAAGAGGGGAAGAGGGGGGTGCACGAGCTCCTCCGCTGGGGCCTCTGGGCCCCCCACAAACCCCCAGAAGGCACCAGAGAGCCCAAACAGCGCGCCAAGATAGTCCAAGGGAGCGTCGAGACGGCCCAGGGCCGCCCCACGACGGTCCAAGATGCTTTCGCGACGGCCCACGAAGCCCTCCAAACGCCCCATGAGTACTCCCAGAAGGCTACCGAGAATGCCCCACGAGGCGAGTATCGTCCCAACCCCAAGGAAGAAAGACATGTTTAGCATACCCGTCTTCTGTGTCTTCTCAGCGTCCAGGACGGCCCAAAGTGCTCCCAAAATGACCCCCAAACTGCCCATAAGGCCCCCAAGAGACCACCAAGAGTGCCCAAAGGGGTCCAAGACGGTCCCAGGGGCCCCCTAAAACGGCCCAGGGGAGCCCCAAGAGAGCCCTGACAGGCGCCAGAGGGGGGGGATATGAACCAGCATTTCAAGCCGTTCCCCCAATGATGGTCCCAAGAGCCCCCAAATGCCCCCAAGAAGCTCCCACGAGGCCCTGACGAAGCCACCAGGATGCCCCCAAGAGTCACCAAGACACTAAAAGAATAAAGAATTCGACAGTTTCTGGAGTCTTCCCCCACACACACACAATGACCCCACAAACCTCGAACGTCTCCCTCAAGCTGGACACCAACACGCGGAGGAGTCCTCGACGACGACCGGGATGGAAGATTGCCGAGATGCCTCGCAGACGCCCCGCGAGGGCTCCGAGACGACTGCCGAGAAAGCCCCAAGACGCGAGCATCGTCCCGCTCCCTCGGAAACAAAACGCGCGTGTGTTGAGCAGGTTCGCATCCTTGGTCGTCACGGCGTCCACGACGGCTCGAGAAGTCCCCGAGATGGCTCCAAGATGGTCCAGGCAGCATCCAAGAGGGTCCCTTAAAGAGCCGGAGAGCCGGCAGGGCCCCAAGAGAGGCCCAAGACAGATAACTGGAACTAACCTTCCGACCTCTGGCCCCCATCCTCGTCCTCCTCCTCCTCCTCCTCCTCCTCCTGCTCCTCCTCCTCCTCCTCCTCCTCCTCCTCCTCCCCATCCTCCTTCTCCTCCTCTGTTATCCTTCTGTTGCGACGCCCGAGAAACTTCCCAGAAGCTCGGAGACGCGCCAAGGACGCCAACAAGAGGCCCCCGAAGGCTTCACCCGTCGAGCTCGTCCTTCTGCTGGGGGTCGGCGACATGGCGCAAGCCTTGTGAATCAACTCACATGGAGCCCAGAGATAGACCAACGATAGACCCATGGGTCCAAGTCATTGGCCTGAGAGGGCCCGAGACAGACACAGTGGAGCCACAAGGGACCAAAGAAGGCTCACTGCAGAGGGGAGGCCCTTTTGGCGGCAAGGAAAACGAGGTACGACGAGGATGACGATGACGAGGATGTTGGCAACGGATCCCCCTCGAAGCCTGTGGCAGGGGGGGCCGACGGTAGTGGCCGAAAACCTTCAGATAAAGGAGGTTTGATATTCCTCGGAAGCGTTCTTTCGTCGCAATGGCTGGGTGCCCTCCCGCTCGAAGTTCTCGCCCTCGTCCTCATCTTCGTCGTCGTCGTCGGCGTCGGCGTCGTCGTCGTCGTCGTCGTGGTCGCCGTCGCCGTGGCCGTGGCCGTGGCCGTGGCCGTGGCCGTGGCCGTCGTCGTCGTCGTCGCCGCCAGCCGCCGCCGCCGCCGTCGCCGCCGTCGCCGCCGTCGCCGTCGCCGTCGCCGCCGCAGCCGCCGTCGCCGTCGCCGCCGCCGCCGTCGCCGCCGCCGCCGCCGTCGCCGTCATGGTCGCCGTCGCCGTCGCGTCGCCGCCGTCGCCGCCGCCGCCGCCGTCGCCGCCGCCGCCGCCGCCGTCGCCGCCGCCGTCGCCGTCGCCATCGCCGTCGCCGCCCGCCGTCGCTGTCGCCGTCGCCGCCGCCGCCGCCGTCGCCGTCGCCGTCGACGCCGCCGCCGCCGTCGCCGTCGCCGTCGCCGTCGCCGTAGCCGCCGCCGTCGCCGTCGCAGTCGCAGCCGCCATCGCCGCCGCCGTCGCCGTGGCCGTCGCCGCTGCCGCCGCCGTCGCAGCCGCCGTCGCCGCCGCCGTCGCCGTTGTCGTCGCCGTCGTCGTCGCCGTCGCAGCCGCCGTCGCCGTCGCCGCCGCCGTCGCCGCCGCCGTCGCCGCCGCCGTCGCCGTCGCCGTCGCCGTCGCCGTCGCAGCCGCCGCCGCCGTCGCCGCGGCCGTCGCCGTCGCCGCCGCCGTCGTCGTCGCCGTCATCGTCGCCGTCGTCTTCATCGTCGTCGTCGTCGGCGTCGTCGTCTTCGACATCGTCGTCGTCACCGTCTTCGTCATCGTTGTCGCCGTCATGGTCGTCGCCGAAGTCCGAAAGGAAATCTTGGACGTGGCTGGGGCCTTTTTGGGCTTTCCGGGACGGCCTCGTCGACCCTTATGCCCCCCCCCCTCGGATCCTGGCCGGAACGCACCCCAAGAAAGGTCCAGGGGTCGTCGTAGTCGTCGTCGTGGAAGCGAAATGCTCCTAAACAGCGGGTCCTGCAAGAGGTCTCAATTCATTGTTGTAACGGAGGCGGTTCCGCATTCTAAGACGCGATGGAATTGCCCCCCACGCGTGCCGTGCCCGCGTGGCGTGCCGAGACTGCGAGCACTGCCCTGCGGTGCCGTGCGCGCGTGCTTGCCGTGCCGTGGCGTGCCCGCCCGCTCTGCCGTGGCATGCCCGGCCCCGGGGGTGCGAGCGCAGGAGGCCGCGCCGGGCCGTGCCCGCGTTCGGCCTCGGGCAGCGCGAGAAAACCTGTCGGTGGCGCGCCATTCCCCCCGGCGTGTGGCGCGCCATGCCGTGCTTGGCTTCGAGCGTGCGGGCAGTGCAGTGCCGTGCCGTGCCGTGCCCGCGCGCCGTGCCGCGCTTGGTTTCGGGAGTGCGAGGAGCTTGCCGTGCCGTGCTGTGCCGTGCCCGCGTGCCGTGCCGTTCTGTACAAAGTTTCCTGGGTCCGGAGGAGGTTGCCGTGCCGTGCCGTGCCCCGCGTGCCGTGCCGTGCTTGGTTGAAGCACCGCCGCGCCGAGCCGAATCGTGCCGTGCCCGCGTGCCGTGGCGTGCCGCGCGGGGTTTCGAAAATGCAAGCAGACTGCCGTGCCGTTCCGTGATCCGCGTGCTGCGCTCGGTTTCGAGTAGGGCGAAACACGCAGAGCCATGCAGTATCCTGGCTGCCTGCGTGCCATTGCGTGCTTTGGTACGGACGCGCGTCAAGGTTGTCGTTTGCCGTGGCGTGCTGACCAGGAGGGTGAGAACGTTGAGCGGTCACTCCTCGTCCTCTTCCTCCTGCCCCGCGCCATCAGATTCATCCCCGCCACCCTTGCAGGAACGACAAGGGGAGGGGGCATGATTGATAATAGAGCGGGATGGGCAGGAGTGCCTCCCCAATCTCATCCTCATGGCCCCTCCTCCTCTCACTCATACCACCCGTCCTCCTGATGTCATAACTCCTCCTTCCCACCCCCCTCCCACAGAAAAGACCCGCCAGCGTGCCTCTGGGCACGGAGTGGGCGTGTCCTCAGGAAATGTGTACTAATCCCAGGCCTCAATCCTGGGATGGTTCCCTCGAAAGCGACGCGCAGGAGGCGGCCGCTCCCGGAGGGAGGGGGTGCGCCGGCCAGGACCTCTAGTCTGGGCATGCCCAGGAGCGCCGCGGGGACCCGCACGACCGGAGTACCTGGACCTCCTCCTCCTCCTCCTCCTCCACCTCCTCCTCCACCTCCTCCTCCTCCTCCTCCTCCTCCTCCTCGTCCTCCTCCTCCTCCTCTTCCTCCTCCTCTTCCTCGTCCTCTTCCTCTTCCTCCTCCTCCTCCTCCTCCTCAGGCCTGAGGGGTCTTTCAAGGGCCCGGGCGAAGACATCTGAAGTTCGGCGGGGCTCGGCGCGTGCCCCCCTGGGGGCTCTCCTCCCCCCCCGATCTCGTCGCGAGACTGTTTCGGGCCCGAGAGGGCCCCAAGACGTGCTGGGGTGTCTCCAGGTCCTCCTCCGTTATCCTCCTCCTCCTCCTCCTCCTCGTCCTCCTCCCTCCTCCTTCAACTCCAACTCCTCCTCCTCCTCCTCTCCTCCTCCTCCCTCCTCAATCCTCCTCCTCCTCCCTCCTCCTCCTCCTCTCCTCTCCAATCCTCCTCCTCCTCCTCCTCCTCAATCTGAGAGGGGCCCTGGACTCCTCCTCCCCTCCTCCTCTCCTCCTCCTCCTCCTCCTCCTCAATCCTCCTCCTCCTCCTCCTCCTCCTCCTCAATCCTCCTCCTCAATCCTCCTCCTCCTCCTCCTCCTCCTCAATCTGAGAGGGGCCCGGGCCCCAGATTCACAGGTCTCTCGAGGCTTGGCGCCAGGAGGGCCCCCCGAGGCCCCCTAAGACGGTCCAAGAGGGCCCCGGGTCGCTGATCGATCGCCCCAAGACGCCCAAAGATGGCCTCAAGATGCCCCAAGAGGTCTTCGAGACGCCCCGAGAGGCCTTCCAGAGGCCTCCCAAGAGGGCCCCGAGAGGCACACATCATTTATTGTCCGTCGGCCTTTGAAGGATTTGGGCGTTCTCGCCTTTTCTGTTCTCCGAAGTTCCCAGACGGCCCAAGAGGCTCCCAAGACCACCCCAAGACGGCCCAAGAAGCCTTTAAGAGGGTCCCAAGACGGCCTCAGATCGCCTCAAGACGGCCCAAGAGGTGCCCAAGACGGCCCCAAAAAGGGCCCAAGAAAGGGAACACGGACCGACAATCCGAGCCTTCCGCCCCAGGAGGCCCCCAGAGGCGCCCAAGAGGCCCCCAAGAGGCTCAAAAGAGGCCTCCAAACGGCCCACAAGGGGCCTCAAACCTGCCCCAAAGAGGCCCCTGAGAGGCTTCCCAGGAGATCCCAACGAACATCCAATAGGCTTCATACCCACAACCCAGGCACGGCGGCGGGATGGGCCGAAGGCCATTTGCTACGAGGAGGATGGGGAGGATGCTCAAAATGATGATCGTGAGGGTGAGTACTGAGAGCAGGGAGAGGGAGGATGAAGATGCTGGGACTTGCTCGTCAACATCCTCGTGCTGCCCCTCCTCCTACTCCTTCGGGATCGGCCGCAGCCAGGTCACCACGGTCACTGGCCGGCAGATTGGCCCAGCACAAAACGGAAGCGATGTCGTATGGCTTCTTCCCGTAACTCTGCCAGCTGGTTCAGCAGGGCTCAACAGTCCGCTGCTAGGCGGGGTATGTTGAAGCACCCACTGGCTGCCCACGGATATCTTAGCTCTTCCCCGCCCGGACTCTGGGCGGCAGCCGCACTCGAGCCTGGCGCGGTCTGCGCCTCGCGCGCAGCCAGTGACATTTTGATGCCAGTGATATGTCAATGAACATGTTGTTGTGTCGGGGGCGGTTTTTGGGACACCTCTCGTTGGTTTCCCTCCAATCACAACTCACCATCGTGTATATCTTCTCTTCCTCATTGTCCTCCTCACCATCATCATCCTCGTCCTCATCGTCATGCGTATGTTTACACTCTCACATCCCCATCCTTATCTTCCGTCCGCATCGTCCTCACCCTCCCCACCCTCCGGGACATCCCGCTACTCACCCTCATCATCATTCATATTGTTCGTCTTCCTCACCCTCACCTCCTCGCTCGCATCAGCACCCTGATCGTCTTCGTCATCTTCCTCCATCCTCATCGTCTTCACCCTCCGCACCCCCTCGGCCCTCACAACCTTCGTCCCTACTACTGTTTCTCCTTCTTGCGACCAATATTACCGTCAGCATCAGCATCAGCATCAGCATCAGCATCAGCATCATCATCATCATCACCATCACCATCACCATCACCATCATCATCATCATCATCATCATCATCATCATCATCATCATCATCATCATCAGCATCATCAACATCATCATCAGCATCATCTTGCTCTACATCCTCCTTGTCCTCCTCACCATCACCCCATATCCCCATCCCCTGTATCCCTCGTCCTCATTGCCCTCATCCTCGGCATGCCCTGCTGCTCATTCTTCTCATCATCCTTCACATTCCTTGTCCTTCTCAGCCTCCTCCTCCTCCTCCTCCTCCCTCTCCTCCTTCTCCTCCGCCTGCTCACCCTTCTCCTCATCCTCACCATGCTCTGGGTCGCCCTCGCCCTCACCATCCTCAGCCTCCTTCTTCTCATTTGCCCGTCCTCCATGTTCCTCACCACCCTCATTCTCGCCCCCTCGTCCCCTCTCATCCTTTCATCCTCGTCCTCACCGGAATCATCTGCACCATCGTGGTTTCCATCGTTGTCCTCCTCCTCCTCCTCATCATCATCCTCATCCTCATCATCAACATCCTCATCCTCATCCTCCTTCTCCTCCTCCTCCTCATCATCACCATCATCAGCATCATAATCATCAACAACAACATCATCATCATCCTCATCATCATCGGCATCATCAGCAACATCAGCATCAGCATCAGCATCAGCATCAGCATCAGCATCAGCATCAGCATCATCAGCATCATCAGCAACATCATCATCATCATCATCATCATCATCATCATCATCATCATCATCATCATCATCATCATCATCATCATCATCATCATCATCATCATTAGCATCCTGCGTGTCCCCAGTTTCCTTACCACCCCCTTGTCGTGATCACCCTCAGTGCCATCATCCTCGCCATCCTTCCTCGTCGCACTCCTTCTCGGCATCCTCATGCTCCTCATCTCCCACCCACATCGGCCAGCTAGCAATCAGGCCAAATCAATCGCCAATGGTTTTAGACAATGAGCCAATCAACAGGATGCCAAGGAGCCAACCGCCAAGAAAACCAACCAACGAAACATGGCCACACGAGCACTATGAGGGGGGCCAGCGGCAGTGGGCGAAACCCTTCACATCTTTTTCGAAATTCGTAACTTTTCTGCCTAACATGCTGCCAAGAGGGTCGCGGAGGAGCCGGAGAGCGCCCGAACGCGCCGAAGAAGGGGAATGAGGTAGCCAAGGACTGGGCGAAGAGGGCTCCGAGTGGGCCTCTGGATGAGCCCAACGCGGTCAAAAATGGCACGAACGCCACTCACGACGGCACCCAACCTGATACAAAACACTTGGAGGCCCTCTCAAGCCATGGAACGACTGCGCTGGGCCATCTTGGGGCCGTGCTGGGTTTCGCTCGGGGGTTGTACCGATGGTACCGGCGGTGCCCAGACCACATCATTCGGCTCTGGAGCCAATTCGGCTACGAAGGAGGAGGAATAGAAGGATGAGGGGAGCAGGAGGAGGAGGAGGAGGAGGAGGAGAAGGAGAAGGAGGAGGAGGAGGAGGAGGAGGAGGAGGAGGAGAAGCAGGGGATGAGGATAAGCAGGAGGAGGATGAGGATGAACTGGAGGAGGGGAAGGAGGATATGATGCCCAAGGAGCGCGAGGGCGAGGCGCAAAAGGCATGGCGGGCCTCTGCCGTGAACGCCTCGGCCTCGCCCTGACCTTGGGTGCCCGATCGTGGGGTCGATCGGGCGCGCGCACGGGCTCAGTCCATCGTCGTCGCCGTCACCTGCCCCATCGCCGCCACCGCCGTCGCCGCCGCGGCCGTCGCTGCCAGCGGCGCCGTCGTCGTCGCCGCCGTCGCTGCTGTCGCCGTCGCCGCCGTCGTCGGCCGTCGTCGTCGCGTTCGATCGCCCACCGTGAGCGTCAATCGTCGGTCGTCATCGGCGAGGTCGGGTGAATCTGGAACTTCTCGGCGGATTTCGGAGGTCTCGGAATTTTTGTATCCCGGAGATTTCAGGAGGCTTCCAAAGATTCTCGGAGATCTCCAAGAAGCTCCCAGGAGGGATGCTCCCCGTCCCACTCCCCGTCCGCTCCCGCCCCCCACCTTTCCACAGCCCTGTCCCCTTCCTCTCCCCACGAACTTGCAGTACTATAGAGGTCATGCGAGCTATGCTATCCGACGCCTAGGCTCGACAATCTTGTGCGCGCGTGCGTGTGTAAGAATGCTGACGCAACGGGAAGTCAATATGGTATTGCATGGCGCTGGAAGTGAGTGGTGTTGGCACATTCGCGACAAGCGCCAGCCAATCCTGCAGAGAGTAGACAAACCTGACGAAGAGCTCAAGCATATCATGCGTTGTGGGGAGGCCCCCTGTTTTCGTCGCTGTCTCAATCAACCAAATAATCACTTCGTCAATCAGCGGGTCAGCAATTCTGTCGACGAAACCATTTCATCGAATGACCCCGGCGAAGAACCCAAACATATGCAGCCGTGAGCACTGCGGTTGTATGTCTTCGGTGGAGCTCGCGATGGGGCCACGCAACGTGTGAGGAGTGTGCCGGAACGGGCGTGGTGGTGCAATGCGGGCGCTGCCATTGGGGCCTGCGGTGGAGCTCTCAATGGGGCCACGACGCGTGTAAGGAGTCTGCCGAAACGGATGCGGTGGTGCCATGCGGGCGCTGCCACTGGCGTCTCAGGTGGAGCTCCCGATGGGGCCACAAAACGCGTCAGGGTTGATGGTGTTGGAGATGCTGATGCCGATGATTGTGATGATGATGCTGATGATGATGATGATGATGAGGATGATGACGAGGATGAGGATGATGATGATGACGACGATGACGACGATGAGGATGACGGTGGCGATGCCGATGACAACGACGACGACGGCGTGACGACGACAATGATGATGATGCCGATGACGATTATGATGGTGACGATGATGGCGATGAAGATGGTGATGATGCTGATGATGGTGATGATGATGATGTCATCGATGATGATGACCATGATGACGATACTGATGATGAGGATGATGATGATGACGGTGATTGTGGTGGAGGTGGTGATGGTGATGGTGATGATGATGATAGTTGTGAGATAGTGTGTCTGATGGTGTTGTTGATGATGATGACGACGATGATTGTGGTGGTGGTGGTGATGGTGATGATGATGATAGTTGTGATGATAGTGTTACTGCTGCTGATGATGATGATGATGATGATGATGATGATGATGCTGACGATTATGAAGATGACGATGGTGAAGATATGCAGAGGGCAGAAGCAGGATGGGAGAAAGGGGGGAGGAGGGCGAGGATGAAGGAAAGACGCAGGGCGCTGTTTCTCCAAAACGGGGGCCGAAACCCGCAATATGGTGGGGGATAAATCAAATCATTGCCATTGCTTGCCATTGCGTACGCCATTATGTTTCTTCAGCGTCATCCTTCTTTTGCCCGTCCTCATTCTTCTCCTCCTCCTATTCCGTGTACTTCGCCCCCTCGCCTTCTCCTCGTTCTCTCCTCCCCGTTCCCCTCCTCCTCCACCTTTCCCTCTTCATCTTACTCGCTCCCCTTCTCCTGCCTATACTGTTGCCCCTCCTGCTCATCCGCATTCGCTATCAATATAAAGCACTCCTACCAGTCCAGGGCGCTCCATCCGGGCCATCAAACCAATATAAAGTCGACGCTTCTTCTATCAGCACGGACGTTTTGCGATCGACGTTGCAGAATGTGTGTCGCGATACTCTTGTATCCAAAAGCACACAATCCGCTGCCCCTCCAGAGAGCTATCCAAGTCGCGCGATCAAGAACCAACCACACCGCTCACAGCAACCGCATCGCAATGGGAAGCACTATCACAGCATGCCTGGGAAAAACAAATCGCATCGTGATGGGAAGAACCCAGTGACAATCAAAGCGGTCGCAGCTGACACCAGCCAGTGCACCCAAGAAAGTGCCAGCAATACCTGAGGAGGGGGGAGGAGGAAGACGAGGAGAGGAGGAGGGGAGAGGAGGAGGAGGGTGGAGGAGACGAGAGGATGAGGGAGGAGAGAAGAAGAGGATGAGAGGAGGGAAGAAAGGAGGAGGTGGGAGTGAAGACAGGAGGGGGGAGGAGAGGAGGAGGATGAGGGGAGAGAGGAGGAGGGGTGAGAGGAAAAGATGATGATGATGATGATGATGATGATGATGATGATGATGATGATGATGATGATGATGAGGAGGAGGAGGAGGAGGAGGAGGAGGAGGAAGAGGAGGAGGAGAGGAGGGGGGAGGAGAGGAGAGGAGCGGAGGGGAGGGCAGGAGGAGGAGGCCGAGGAGGAGAGAAGGGGACATAATCTCGCGCGCACCGAGTGACACTGGGAGCGCCCAGCGTAGACGCGTCGTCCGAGCGGCCGGCACGACAGGCACCAGCAGAGTGACACCGCGATGCCAGGGTTGGAGGGAGGCGGGAGGGGGGAGGGAGGAAGGAGGGAAAGGGACGAGGAAGAGGGACGACCGCAATCACGCCACGCACAGCACGCCTCTGGACGAGCAAGTCTTCGAGGTCCGATCTGTTGGACAGGGTGGCACCCATCGTGCCTCGCGCGGACCTTCCCCGGGCGGCGGGGGGGCAAACGCCCAGCCTGTGGGCTGAGGTCGACCGCCAGCGGCCGCGTGGGAGTCCGACAGCTGCAGCCGATAGGCAACAGGAGGAAGAGGAGGAGGAGGAGGAGGAGGAGGAGGAGGAGGAGGAGGAGGAGGAGGAAGAGAAGTGGAAGGGGGCGGAGGAGTGAAGGAGGAGGAGTAGGAGAAGGAGGAGGAGGAGGAGGAGGACGAGGACGAGGGCGAGGGCGAAGGCGAGGGCGAGGGAGGAGGAGGAAGATGAGAAAGCAGGCCAAGTGTGGGCGTCCTCATCCTCCACGGCCTCGAGAGGAACAGCCCGCGTGGATCAACGACACCGCGATGTATACGATGGTGAGCGTTTTCTTATTCGGCGTTTCGACACTTAGTGAAGGGGGGGGGGGATGGGGGTCTGGCTCCGGACCTCTGCTTAATGCGACTGTTTGCAGCAGTGCGTCCCATGCGGGCGACTTCACCTGCTCGAGAAACGGGCGCCAAAACAGCCAATATCCACTCCATTTGGGGGGGGAGGAGGGGTGCGAGGGCCCGCGTCGATCGGCAAGACATTGAATAAGAAAACGACGACATGGGCTCCGAGCCATCTCTCATGGTTTCCTCAATGAAGCACGCTCCCCCTGCGGAAGCTGGTGCCCGCGTAACGCAACAAGCAGACCGACGCGACGACCAAGCTGCAGCAGGCGAGCCCGCGCGCGAAACCCCAGCCGGCGTAGCACTGGTGGCAAAACAACCTCTCCCGGGCCAGCGCGGGCACCTCGCTGGACGAGTTCCGGCAATCTCGGCGAGAATGGCCCCGTGTCGTGCCCCGTGGCGGCTTTGGCACTGTTGACCCGATGCGCTGGGGCCGACTCCACGATGCGAATCGAAAGGTCGCCAGGCAAACCAGCGCCACGCGAACCGCCCTGCAATAGGCAAACTCCTGCAGACGACCGTGGCTTGCGAGAACAGTGGGCGGGCAATAAACCACCGCACGTGCGAGGAAGATGAGGGGGAGGAGGAGAGAGGAGGAGGCAATGCGCCCCTCATCTCAGATGGGAGCGGACAGCGTGAACGAAACTCGGGCCGCCTCAGCCCGGCGCACGATGGTGGCACACGGCAGGTTCGTGCCGTTGCGACTTCGGCCGATTCTGTGCCGACAGCGGCAATGCACACCCACTGTATGCTGCACACGTGGGGGCAAGCACCGAGTGAACAGCCCTGGGGGCAAACACTCAGTGCATGGCCCTTGTGCTGTGCCTGTCGTAAGGGCAGGGCGACCAACGAAATGACACCAAGCTTCGATGGGGGAGGGCGAGGAGGAGGACGCGGAGAGGGGGGAAGAGCACGCCCGGCGTGAGCCGCGGGGCCTGTCCTGCGCCCGTGGCCGAACTGCGGCCGCAGCGGTGCACCCCGCAAGGACTCGAGCGATGCGCGGGAGTCCACCCGGCAACGGCCACGCTTCCGCAGGAGGCGGGGGGAGGGACCGCGGCGCGCGTGGAGGGGCGAAGTGCCGCGCTCGCCTCGGCGCCGCGCCCGGCGCTCCCGAGAGCTGAGCTCCCGCTCTGGCCCCGCACACGCCTCTCGCCCGACAGCTCGTCGACGGGGGCGGCGCGCGCGGGCGGTCCAAGTGCTGCTCTCGCCCGGGCGGCGCGCGGCTCTCGCTCGGAAGTGCGCCCCGCCCGGGCGCGGCGCGTAGAGTATAGAACCTCCGCTCGTCTGTCGTCGTCTGGAGCCTTTCTCGCCAGAGAGCGCTGCGCAGATTCCGAGGAGAGCAGTGCTGCTTCAGCGCGGCGCTTGCTCTGGTTTCGCCGCTCTTCTGGGAAATTGTGGCCGCACGGGAAACGACGAGCCACACTGCGCCCTTTGCTGCAGCGCCACGCGAAGGTGCTCTGGAAGCTCTGCCTCCC